AAGCTGCGTCAATCTCATCGATATCAACAGACTCTTCTCAGAATACGAATGACCTCTCTCAAGGCAAATAGAATTGATGCTGAATCCTGAAACCTCCGAAAGGTGTGAAAGTTCCGTAAGGTGTAAAAGAAGCAATGACGTGAAGAGCAGAGTATCCCTGAAGTGCCTTTTTACGGAGAGACAAAGGAAATGGCATCGAATATGAAAAAATGTACGAGTCTATCAAAAAGATCCCAGCAACGAGTGTCGGAAGCGAGTGCACTTTCTCAATGTCTTCGGATTTTTCGGAAAACTCAAAGCGTGATTGAGCGATGGAAATATCAGCGCTCTCACATTTCCCAGAACTTATTTCAAACAGCACTGAATTATATGTTGAATAATAATTGTTGAGTGATCGTTGAATAACTAGACTGAATTGCATGGTAACTACACTGAATTATATGCTTTACGTCATTGAATAATTCGTTGTTGAGTAATACAGTTGTTGAATAATACAAATACTAATTGTTGCGTGTGTTGATTTGAATTTGAATAATTTGTTGAACATGTTGTATTTGTTGAACATTTTGTTGAACAAACCCTTTTCTGATTAATTATGATCATATTGATTCAAAAACGTGTTTAAACATGCCACACATCGATATTTCAAAAACTGTTCGACCCTGGGATAATACCAGGATTGAAAATCGACCCGGGATTAAATCCCGGTCCCAGGATTCAAAAAACATCGGGATTTCGCAAACCTTGACCTTAGCAACGAATTAGAAGAATGATCTTACTATTAGCAACGAAAAATTAATCCAAAGATCAACAAATTTGCTGCAGAATATTCGTTGGTAATATTGAAGGAACTGTTTCCGTGTAAGCGAACAAGCATTTTCGATACATTCTTGGAAGAACTGTGAAAAAAATCAGTCAACATTTACCTGCTAACCTATTCAATTCTCCTTCTCCAGTTTCTTCTAAAACCACTGACTTAACGGAAGTTGAATTGACGTTTCCCTATGCGGCTTATTCACATAAATTTTGACTGGTATATAGTGCTTACATAAGATCCCGAATTCTGAATCCCGATCCCGGGATTTATGTTATGAAAAATGCTGGGATTTCAGAAGTCGGTAAAACACGGCAATACTTATAATTTTAATTTTGGTTTACTCTTAATTAATTGCAATTTTGGTGATTTACTCATCTTTAATGACACATCAATCATTGCCAGTTCATCCATGTTCAGTAGTATTTGCTTACTACTCAAACGGCAACGAATAGATAAATCATTACATAGTAGTTCCACCTCTGCTTTCGTTTTTCAGGAGGTCGTGAACAAAAATTTCGTAATGCCTTTCCTCTCGTTTGGTCGTCTGTCATCATCGTTGCTTTGCCTTACGGTCGTTTTCAATCCCGGGATTGTCTTGAGATTGAAAAATGATTGAGATTTTACAAACTTTACTGACATGAAACTTACGTCTTATGTCGATGTTTGAGCAAAAACGGGCTGCAACGTACATACTTGACCCCACTACATACTCCACCTCATCATTTTAACAAACGAAGTAATTTGCTTGTCCCGGAAAGATGCAGAACGTGTATGTCTAACATATTAAGATGTGCTTAAATTTCCATTCCTCACAAACTTTTTTGGTAAAGCGCCAGTGTTCATTTATTATTTGCAATGAGAACGTTTGTTATATTCGCAGCGTAATCGAATAAAACAAAATACATTCGCATCTCTTGTGGATTGACCGACAAATCCGTCCGCGACGAATGCGTACTACGTCATTTTGAAACGCATAGTTGGTCAGGAAACTTCGACTTTAGGCGATGTGTATGCATGTTCACCGTTGTGGGATAGTATTAGGAAGTGTGATATGTTTGGAGATTATTTATCATTGTTTGCGCGTGGCAGATTAGTAATCAGTGGAAAATTATTGATGATATTCCTACTGGCAACTGTTTTGATAGGGTGGCTTGGGGGCTTCGGAAGAGCTCTCGTTAACGAGAATTGCAAACGAGTGTTATTTTTCACATAATCTTGCTTTTGAATGTGTCTGTGAAAGTGATCTGTGCTGCAAGCAACCGCTCGAACTGTGGATGGGCTTCATTCCTGTAGATTCAGATTCATTGTTTGCTGCGGTGGATAATCTGAGGCTAAGCCCCATGGTGAGCCTCAGTGGAATGCAGGGCTTAAACTTTGCTTGAGGCGGGTGAATAAGCCGACCAGTTTTATTGAACACGTTAACCACGATTACCATCTTATAATAACTCTAACCTAAAGGAGAAGATTGTCGAATGCCGTATTTACTAGATGAAATAATATCAGGCTGAGTATTCATTTCGAATTGTCGATGTATGTCAGTCTATATCATGTCATTCTCCACCTCAACGGATCTAACAATGTATAATAGAGAAGGGAAGTGGTTCTTTTATGGATGTTTTGTGCGATTTTCGATTCGGTTGGAGATGGCGCTACAGGGTCAGTTGAAAAAGGTGAGTTTGAATTATTATGAGATGAACGTTTCTGTATCTGCTGCATTCATTGTTAGATGAAATAGTTGTAGATTTACGGAATAAAGGGGAACTGCTGCGTCCATTAAATACTGCTGATGGATTGAACGGTATCTGCGTGGCTGTGCCAACGTAAATGTATGCCGACCGTGCGATTGATTATTGCGTGATTGCTTGCTGATATTATTATTTTATTATTGTATGAACTCATGCATTACGATTGTATTATTCGGTCAGTTTTATTCAGAAATGTATTTTGTTTCATATCGTTGTGTTTCAAATATTTGTTTCCTGTTTCAATATCAATTATAGATTTTTTTGATCAATTTGTCCTGTCTGATGTATTCACTCACATCGCAGAAAATCAGTTGAACTCTTAGTTATAACTCACATTATCAGCTGCAGTATTATTGACAGCTTTTTACATATCTTAATTAATTGAAACATTGCTAATGAATAGCATTTTGTTGCAGTTCATCAGGGGACATAGCCCCAAATTTTCCCCGAGGTCCACCCCAGCTAGAGTGAACTTGAAGCCATAGGGGCGAACTTGAAACACAGTTCAGGTGGTTGTTTGTAGGAGTGATCATGATGAATGTAAGAAATTATAATAGATTGACTAACGCGCGTTTTATAATACAAGCACGCAATAGTGAACATGCATACGCATCGCTCAAAAGTCGAACCGAAACGAAGTTTCCTGACCGACTATGCGTTTCAAAATGACGTAGTACGATTCGTCGCGTACAGATTTGTCGTAGACCCCTCTTTGTGCACCGTTGCCAGGAAAGTCGCATAAAGTGATCAATCGTAACAGATAATTCTTCTTCTCAATATCGCTAAACAGAATGTAAATCGTAACATCATACTGTTATCTTCATTGAAGTGTTCAATATTTTTTTAACTGAATGAACGAACAGGTAGTTTATTGGGTAAGTGGGAGGCAGTTTTTGTTGCATTCGTTTAATATTCGACCCATCGTTTCGTATGTTCGTCGTGGATTTCTTCGCTGTTTCAGTGAACTAGATAATTAGTAGTGATGTCTCATCTTGCTACAACTCTAGAATGTTACATATTTGGGATCATCAACCCAAAAATATTGTTGAGGACGAACTTTCGGGAGGGTTTTTGTCGAACACTGATTGTTTTCGACAAGAGGGAGGTATCGATTTGGATAGTGGAAGTTATGAGAGATCACGATGTAAAAGTGCATTAAACAACTTATTTATTGATTAATCGTTCGTGTGTATGAGTCAAGTCTATTGTTAAAGGATGTTGTTGGATGGTTTTTTAAAAGAACTTGTGATCAACACGTTCTGATCAATTGTCATTTTAATGAGATGCGTGAATATGAAGCAGATCTTATGAGGACTTGTTAAATTGTTGTTTACTTCGATCCAGGCATCCTGTACTAATCTTTATCACATATATGTATCGATGATACAAACGAGATGACTCCATATCTTTGCACATTTAGTCTTGTCTACTAAAACTCTGAAACATGTTTCTTTAACATTCTGTTCATGAAACCGTAAGATGTGGAGTATTGCTTCGACTTTACAAAAGGTACTCAGCTTTGCTGAAGTATGTAAATTGAATTAAATGTTACGTCGATTTGTTGCTGTATCGTTTTCGCTGCCGTATTCCAATCTGAATTTTATAAATTTGCAAGGATCTCGTTGTTTCCTCTGAACAGTTTCGTATTGCAGCAGTGTTCACCGGAAGTGTTGTGCTTGGTGGAGGTAATCCGCGATTGCTATCATTCGTTCGTCGTTGTCGTCTTCACTATAGGGCATGTTGTTTTCAATTCTTGCAATTTGATCAGATTATTTTATGAAAGTCCTTTTCGAACTTTGTCCAACAGTAATAACTGTCGTCCTACTCAGTAGGCGCATTTTTGATTCATCGATTGATTTTAGTTCCGCTGTCACTCCTGTAGAAGTATTAATTTCAAATTTTTATTGATTGATACCGTGTGATACTATGATACTATGTTATGATATTATGATTGATACTATAATACTATATTCATACTATTGATACTATGCATTTCACTGCGGCGAATTTTGAAGCTATATTCTAGTATCAAATCATTTGTTGATGCTTTATTTTGTTGATCATTTCTTTATAGGGCACATCAGCTGATTTATTGCATTGCAAACCAAAAACTCGTATGGTGCTTGTTTGTTCTGCCATGATCTCGTTTTTTGTAGCATTTTCCCTGAGACGTAAGTATGAAAGGGACTGAACACAAGCAAGTCGGAGCTGTTACTTCGGTTATTCCTTAAACCGGGATTCAAATGCCTCTGCGAACCCAAGGATAAATCAGTTGCCATCCTTCTTAAAGGCCACGAAATCAAAATCGGGGTCGAATGACGACGTGGATTTTATTGTTATTCTCGAGTTGTGCTACTATGATTGAGTAATCGTTTAAATGTTTTCTCATTTGATGCCAATTTTAGGTATTTGTTTGGTGGTTCGATTAAGACAGAAAAATGGCTTTGAAAAGGATTCAGAAGGAGTTGCAAGACCTGGGTCGTGATCCTCCAGCGCAGTGCAGTGCCGGTCCAGTGGGTGATGATTTATTTCATTGGCAGGCCACAATCATGGGTCCACCAGAGTCGCCCTACCAGGGTGGCGTTTTTTTCTTGACCATCCATTTTCCAACCGACTATCCTTTCAAGCCTCCGAAAGTGGCGTTCACAACACGTATCTACCATCCAAATATCAATAGCAATGGTAGCATTTGTCTGGACATACTACGATCACAGTGGTCTCCAGCTCTTACCATATCTAAAGTGCTACTCTCAATCTGCTCATTACTGTGTGATCCTAATCCAGACGACCCGTTAGTACCTGAAATTGCTCGCATCTACAAAACTGATCGTGATCGTTATAACCAGCTGGCGCGTGAATGGACGCAGAAATATGCGATGTAACGTGAACAGTATAAACAAACAACGATTGAATGCTTAGATTATTCATCTAATTTATTCACTCTTCGAGGTTTTCTATCGAGTTTTTTAATGTATGAATAATCAATCATTAGTCATCCTCATCAACAAGCTGTTACAACCACATAAACCTATTTATTCATATTTATATCACTCATCCTTATATTATCTTCAAACGAGTCTTGCAATACTTCATTTTATCCTCTTATTCTTTTTAATTGTATGAACTCCTCTCTATAGATGCTGTTGTGTATCATTTAAATGCACCACTTTTTTGTTTTAAATTTCCCATCTTGTTCAGAGCGAATTTCATGTTTAATAAAGTCGCATTCCGTTGTTTTAAAATTTCCTTCTGTGAATTGCATTCAAGTTTATATTTTTGATACGAACCAACGTGAAGCTGATGTTGATTGAGGTGTTTTTGTTTTCTCCACAATTATAAAGTAATCGTTAAATTCTGTTTCCTGTGATTCATTGTTATATTGATTAAAGTGAATGATGATGCCATTGAAACTTATATTTGCGGTAGAAGTTTGTCCCGTTTTTATCACTTTCTGTCTCGGCTCTGTGATGCATTCATTTGAAATAAATTTTAAACTCAGCTGCTTTCTTTTTTCAATGCCTTCATTTTAGACGACTGTAATATGTTTGAGTGCGTGTGTGTGGGTTTGTCTGAATGCCTGAATGCGTACAACATGGCTGTGGTGAATCTGCTCATTTTTTCGTTCAACTTAATTTGAATTGAAAAAGTTATACTCCTTTAACGTTTAGCGGTAAATAAAAAAGTTTTGTTGCTTTGGTTATGTATTAATGTGATTCAGCTTAGTCAGTGAGCCTCATGAATATGGGTATCGAAAATATAATTTGGTTTATTTGTAGTGATGGTGGATGAAGGACGGGGAAATGTAGGTACATGAAGTAATTCTATGTGTTTTGCCTGTTAACGTAGTGGTCTTTTATAAGGATTTCATATTATTTCAACCGATTAGTAACATATTAAAGTTGAAATGAACAAGTAAGTTGCAGGTTGTTATTAAAGAACATAATTTTGTAATACGAGCATTATGGCTTGGTATATTGAGGAACAGGAATGCACTTACCTTGATTATAATGCCACTACACCATTGGATAAGTTCGTTGAAGATACGATTGTGAATTCCATCAAGTTTTGGGCAAATCCTAGCAGTAATAATTCACTTGGTAAATTATCAAATGCGCCATTTTTATTCATTTTTGAATTCCAAAAGCATTAGCGTTGAAGAATGAAATAATTTCAATATATCCTCCATCGTGCATTGCAAGAAAATATGAGATTTTATTTATCGTTTAGGTAGAAAGGCAAAAGAGGTGATAGAAGCTGCTCGAGAACGGGTTGCCAGTTTGTTAAATGTCAGTGCAAAGGAAGTCTTTTTCACATCTGGTGGCACTGAGGTAAATTATCTTTCTATTATCTTATCAATTTATTAATCCTTATTGCAAACCGATTTCTATAAAGAATAAAGTGGGCATTTGCTTATAGTCAAACCATTGGGTGATTTACAACGCAGTCGAACATTTTAAAGAATCTCATGACCATGAATTGAAGCCACATGTAGTAACCTCATCAATAGAACATCCATCGATTTTGGAACTACTGCGTTCTTTACAAACAAAAGGTGAAATTGGTGAGTAATTGTTGATACTGTCCTTAGCAGTTATGGTCAGACATTTTGTGCTTTTTGCTGTATAATAATGTTGACCATGTTCAAATAGTCAATTTTTTGATAAGAATAATTGCCTGTATATTTCCCAATAACGTTTTCACTTCGGGCTTGAGAAATCCTTTCTGATTTTTATTGGAAGAGTCAGAATTTGTTGCTCGGAATTCTCGAAGCCATATTGACGTAGTATTGAGTGATGGACAACTGAACAGATTGCTTATGGAAGTGTACGTTTGCAGAATACACCGCAGTTGGGGTGAGTGCAGAAACAGGCATTGTGGAGCTAAATGAAGTTGAAGATGCGCTTTGCGAAAGAACTGTTCTTGTGTCAGTGATGCTTGCAAATAATGAAACCGGCGTGATCCAACCAGTTGCAAAGATTGCTGATATTGCCCGGTCTACACATTGACTGAAAAAATTTATTCATTCATTTATGTAGTGATTAATTTCAAGCCTATGCCTCCCAGCTACTACCAGTATCACCTTGTTCGCTCATTCGCATTCGATCAGTATTAATGCAAGCGTTAATTTATTCGTCACCACTGATTTAGCTGTCAGAGAAAAGTGGCTACTCTCCTGCTCTACCCATTGCGAACGTATCGAAATTAGACCATGAAAAGTGCACTTCTACTGATCCGATGAATAGACATCCAATAATCAGAGTGAGGTAGGGCGATGAATCACAGATCGGAACTAACTATAGATACTAACTCACTCCGGTATGACAAAATCATTTAAAAATATCTCAGACCCTGCGTGAGCCTCAGCCTAAACCTAAGTCCAATGTAATTGGTCGCCGTACTTTACTCAGATTATAGGTACATTCTGAAGTAATCGTTCAAAATAACGGATAGCGGTAAAGCAGTAATCCTCTGGAATAAGCTGTATGCAGTAATGATCATCACCTGTCACTGATCAGTCTTCTGATCATGATTATTCGTGGTTCATTTCTTTGTCCAAGTGATTTCCGATTTTCATTGTTATTCTCATTTGTTACAATGATTATTATTATTTACGGTCATGAACGTGATCAATTCATTTCTAGACAAGCAAGTGAACGTTTTAATTCGCGTATTTTGGTGCATACGGATGCAGCACAAGCGATAGGCAAAATAGAAGTGGATATGAAAGTTTTGAAAACGGATTTCATCACGGTTGTTGGCCACAAAGTGTACGGCCCTCGCATTGGTGCGTTGGTGATACGTAATGAGAAGACAGTTCCGCTGCAGGCCCTTTTTAGAGGTGGCTTCCAGGAGAATGGCAAACGTGCAGGGTTGGTTAGTTGGGTGCATTCAGTTTTAATTCAGATAATTATTTAAAATTAAATTGATCTTTCAAATCAAGTTATTGCTCAGACAGGTGGTAAAATATCTGATGTTCTATGGGTGAACTTTTAGAATTCATCATTGATATGTACTATCAGTGAGATTTACAGTTTAAGACGTAATGAAGTGCTTCTCGATCGTAGTTCTTGATAGAAGTGGTTTTATGGACACTGATCAGGTAGATATGAAACGTGCGTAGTCATAAGGATTTCAACTAGACAAAACGATATGATATCGTGAAAGCTGTTTCGATAAGTAGTGCGTTACTTCAGTGCATCTGTCACGTTATTACCCTGAGCATATAAAGTTGATATCAGTACTGATTATATGATTCACCGAATTCCGTTTCCTTCTGGTCTGATCACAACACCAAACTAAATGTTTATCACACTTCTATAGGTTGCAACAGAAATTCATTCCACTCTTGTAAGTGATTTGTTCTGTCTTCTAAAATATCGTCGAACCTCAACTAATCTCCCTATGCAATTGAATAAGTTCAGTATATAAGTGGAATATGATGGTAGCATCAGAAAATTTGTGGTTCTTTTTTTCAAATGTGTTTACTGATATACTTTTAAAAACATTAGGTGCTTTACTTTCAGTACCGAAAATACGGCAATGATCGCAGGTCTTGGTGCAGCTTGTCAAATTGCGTCGGAACGATTATCTGCAAACATGCGACAAATGCGGCATGTCAGAGACTATTTCGAAGAACAGCTCAGGGTTGTTTAATCCCTTATTGATTTATGCTTGAATCGTTTTCGACAGTAGCGATTTTGAACCATGTATTTCTTAATATTCATTTATTTGCAACGTCAAATTTTTCTGAAAGAGTTGTTAAATCGTCGAGTGAAAAATAGGATAAGGAGGTGGAGGTATCTGTCTTCAGATAAAATCGATATAACTATTGCAGAGTATATTAGGTGACGCTGTCAGGATACATTTCACAAAATCTGAACGCATACCGAACACAAGCAGCGTATCGTTCATTAAATATCCTGGTAATGCGGTTGATTTTCTCTCTAAATGCAAGTCATTCACTGCAAGCACGGGTGCTGCATGCCATGCTGGAACGAATGGGTTAGTCTCATTCCTTTTGAATAAACATCTGTTAGTTGATGTTCACTTTCAAATTTATATGCTCGGCGGGTCTATCAAGTTTTTCGAGAGATAAAGAGGAGGAACCATCATGATGACGTAGGTGTTGAACTTCATTCGGAATGAGTTTACTAGGCTGTGTTTGCGATGAAGGGAGTTGAGCTTGGCTTAGTTAGATCCTAAACTTGTGTTTCTGTTTTGGATGAAACTGATTATTTTCTTTTCAAAATATGAACGGAGAATAATGCCTTTAGAGAAGAAAAAACCAGTCTCAGTTCAAGTTAAAAGAACAGCGATTCAACTGCGAATTGCTGGTTTTAGAGCGTTTCGAGGCAAACCTTTTCACCTCTTCTTTTTAGTTCTTCCACAGTGTTACTCGCGTGTGGATTGAGTGAAGAAGTGGCGTGTCGCACTGTACGTTTTAGTTTCGGACGCGAATCTAGCGAAGAACAAGTCGATCGTGTCATAAATGAAATAAAATCGGTTTGCTTCTTTGGTAAATATGGCAGCTCATTATTGAAAGCTATCAACAAAGGTCCAGTATCTGGATTTTGATATTCATTGACTCATTGGGTTGGATCGTCCGTCTATGAAATTCAGCATCAATATGTATCGCCGAAGGGTTCGTTTCATTTCTTTGCGTTTAATTAACATTAAAATGTATTTTCAATGTTATGATTCGGGGACATATTTCATCAGAAACCGACACTCTTTTCTCGTTTGCGGTGTAGGCATAGAGAAGGGAAGATAGAGCGCTGAGAGTAAATTCCGCTTTTTTTCCTGGAATTTCGGAGAACTTTGCTGATGAACGTTTTCGATAACATCACTTGCTGTTGCACTCACTTTTACTCAGCAAATGCATATCGCCTTCTTCCCCATTTAACGATACTCATGCTGCGTTTTATAGTGTGTGTAAATGGTCTGTACTAATTTTTTGATTCTCTTTGGTTAGATTAGAGTTATGATTTGAGTGTTTTATATTAAGTGAAGTTCATGAAAATTTTGAGAAATGACGTCGAAATTATAAAAGACGTTCGTTATTGTTTCTGTTTGTTTCCAGTTGGAACAGTCGGAACAATTGCTTTCGTTCCTTAGAGTCAAACAATATGTATGATGGATGCAGCGCTTTGCTAATTGATGTCGAAAAATCGGATTCGAATTTATTCATTCCATTGCATTCTCTTATAATATGTTCTTATGCTTATTGCATGGTTGGTGTTCGTTGAATATGTGAAATAATATTGTTTCTAATAAAGAATGCTTTGTAAAAGTACAAAAATACTCATTTCGGCTTCAGAAAGGTGCACAAATGATATTTGAGTTATCCGAATGCAGAGACGGAGTAGGGTGGCACACTGGCACATCATTTATAGATTTGTGGTCAGTCAGTGAAGTGAACGAAATATTTAGGGCTTGTAAATTGGACTGCAGTGCTCTGTTGAACAGTTCTAGAGAACTAGCAGATTGCAAGAGGAAATACATTAACATGTTAGGGAAACGTTTGATTTTCGCTGAACCATTACTCACTGCAGTAAAATCAGTCCACTCATCGCCAGTTTCGAATCTCTCTTCAAAAGTTTGAAACCGCACCGCTCGCTAACTTTTCCGAGCAAAAACCTCACCACGTTCTGAAACAGTCAAAAATTTTAATATAATCATTCAACAGTGAAAAATCTCTTCAATAATAAACCCAGTCAACAGTAAAAACAAAGTTAAATAATACGAAAATAACCCCTTAAATTCAAAGATGAAAAACAATCAACTGGTAAAAGCCCACGCTACACTTTCAGACTTTTTTTCGGGCACATCAGCACGCTGAATATTCCATCTGAACGTCAGGATCATTTATATCCTTTCCTAGCGAAGACAAAAAGTTCACTGGACTGTCACCTAACTTACTGAGAGTTACATGACTCGGAGAGCTCAGACGAAATCCTAGTGGTGCACTTACAGCAACCAACTAAGACGTCGTTGAACATTCCACATCGAATTTTTTAGTGTTAGAGCGGAAAGATTTATTTTTAATATCTTGATGTTGATAAAAATCAAAATTCTTTTGCGAACGCAAAGTAGCGAGTTAGCAGATTTTTGAAGGAAAGTAGCTTGCTAAAACGATAACGAAAGAAAATGGCGCAAATTGTCGCTACTTTATGCCGCTAAAAAATTACTGTCGCAAAAGTTACGACTGTAAATTCTCGCTATATGAAAGAAGTAGTTCTGCTAGTACTGTAATATAGAACTGCACAATACTGCCTATCACTGTTAAATTTTAACTTAAGATTAGCCAAATATCTACGAATCCGAATAAACAAACCTCATCCAACTTAAGTACGACACCTCACAGTTTTACTGGACAGCTCAGCAAGAGTCGGCACATCATGAAAGGATTTTTTTTCCGAAATTAGTCAGAGAATATTGAAAAAACACAACACATTCCTTGATGTGAATGCAATTGTGAGGTGGCAACGCCGACATGGCATTAAATGATGCTCGTAGTTGTTGCCATGGCTTGCTGTCGCCATAGCAATGGCGTTGTTGCAAGGCCATTAGCAACGTATGTGCATTGTTGCGATGATGTCAATCTTCAACCGATTGCTTTCAATTGATGATCTACACAAAAGGGTGGCACAATTCAAGAGTGAGGTGAGTGCTTCTTTACCATTCGGTGTAGTTCAAATTATCAGTTCAAATAAGAATTTCTAATCCACTCCCGATTCGAACTCCGGAATTTGAAGAGCGTAATTTTGAACTGCTAAAAAAAACCACAAATTTCGGAATTTGAAATATTTGAAATTATTAAGAGCAATATTTCTGAAATTTGAAATTTTTATTTCTATTTTTATTTCTGAAGCAATATTTCTATTTCTGAAATTAAAAATTATGCCAGAATAAGAGCAGTATTTGTTCCGAAATTGCTTGTTTAATGAAAATTGCTTTCAATATTTCTCGAATGTTTGCAACAAATGTAAAAAAATTGTCCTCTTTGGAAAAAAAGATAGGCTCAGATGAGGTTTACGGCGGGCTTAGGCTGAGGCTCATTTCAGTTTAGGTAAAGACTCGCAATTAGACATAAGCTGAGATTCATCTTCAACTCAGGCTTAGATTTACCCCATATGTAGGTTGAGTTTACTACGGGAATCAGACTTAAGTTCAGTTCAAACCTTGGTCGAGGCTCATCACATGCATAGGCTAACGTTGGGAATCGGTCCGAGCCTCAGGCTGAGGCTTACCAAAAGGCTCGGTTTGAGGCTTTGAGTGAGGCCAGTCAAGGCTGAGGCTCATCCCGGAGCAAAAGCTGATGCTTATTTCCAGTTAGGTTTGAAGCTTGCCATGGGCGTAAGGTTAGGCTTCCTCCGAAGCTTAGAGCTAAGGTTCACCGCGGGTGGGAGGCTTCATCCCTGTTGCAATGGGATGTGCCCCGGAGTGTTCCAAATTTTGATCACATATTCCTCTCGTTTCAGATTGAAAATCTGAAGTTTAAAAGAAGTTCAACCGCTTTGTCTTTCTGAATTCAAAATTTCAAACTCATAGAGAAAATCTGACGAAATTTCAATTTCAGAAGTAAAAGTTGGATTTTGAAAATGAAAACGTTCGAAATATTTCGAAATTTCGAATGCTAAAAGTAAAATTTTGATTTGATTTGAAATTTAGCAGGATAATTTTTGAACCATTGATGATAATCAAAAGCTTTCGACAGGTTGAGAAACTGTTGCTGTACGAACGACGCGCTAACCTGAATGATTACGATGTACACAATTCACAAAGGAGATGCGTTGATCTAAAGAAACAAATTGATGACTACATTAAGAAGGCAGAAGCAATAAGAGTGGATGCGAAAAGCACTGATTTGAAACAGCGTTTATTAGAACAACTGGATAATTTATCGGTTGCTTATATTAGTTTCAAACAAGAATTCAAAGATCATTATCTCGTTTATTTCTTATCTCACTAGCTGGAAATTTCGCACGCTCCACTAACAATAAAATTTTTTGAGTACTTATATTCATATTGATTTTTTGACCCACAAGCCTTTTTGGTGGTAAGTATTATGTACTTACCTTGATTCTTAAATAGTAAGACTAATTGCATTAGCATTTGCTCAGTACACGATCACTTTATTTCAATTTGTTACATCTTGACTTCAGTTGACTAAATCAAATTTAATATGTATGCATCTTCCGAATAAGTACTTCGACTAAAATCGAGCATTCAGTTAAGGAAAATCAACACTGCTTTGCTCACTGCCTGCAGGATTATAAAACTTGCTTATTTCGAGATATTATATATTTCATTGAGACGTATTCAACTGAATGAAAATTAAAGGAGTTCAATTATGAAGATTTACTTTTTGAAGGACGACCTTGCCTTATTCATTAATCCTCATCACTTGGGAAAGAAATCGACGATGGCTGCGGACAGAATCGAGCAACCAACAGTGGATTTAAACCAAACGTCGGTCGCAATTTTTATTCACAATATGCTTGTTTCATGGAATGAATGTTGTGTAGTTGTCGAAGGCATGATATTAAACGATTGCTTCGCCATTAAATCATTTTCAGTTCAGAAACTTCCCATTCATGATCTAGAAACCCCAGAACTGAAAACTTTCTTATTTTGCTCAAAAATAAACAGTATGAAGATGTTCGACACCCGGAGCTAAAGTGTTTTTTGTGAGCCTACCTCGGATCACTGCTTTTAATAACTCTCAGTCATTTGAAGAAAAGTGGGGTCCTACAACACTTACAATTACAGCACCGATTTGAATTCTTGTGTATAATTGCTGAATATGACACACATGAAAACATGAGGAAATTTGAGAAAATATCTTAGAACATGAGAAAAAAATATCTAAGAACGAACGCAATTTAAACAATATACCCTTAACATGAGCTTAAAAATCAGGCTCAACATTGGAGACTAGTCTAGTTGTTGGCACTTATTTTCATGGTGTCTCATTTCAACCTTTCTCATATCAACTTCACATTCAATCTTTCTCATAAAAACACAAACATTTCCCTTCGTAAACATATTCTTCTTCTTCATATCTCATTTACCATCTTTACGAATACATTATGTTTTCTGTTGGGTCATTGAAGAGCACTTTTTGAATCGCTAAATAACCTGCAGAACACATCAAGGGAACGAATCAGAAAGGCATGATGCTACGAACGGATGGTCAATGCATGAAGGAATATCGCATGAAGATGTGCTCGATTCTGCGAAGAACAAAGAATTCGTTAATGATTCAATTGAGCGAGAACGACACGATCACTATCAACATGAACAAGGGTCATTTCACCATCATAAGACAGATTTTATTGCCAATGATATTGCTTGCATTTGGCAACGTTTTCTATTTCAAAGCCATTTACAGACGTCCAGCAGATAATCTTCCATCAGGTGGTGTTCTCGTTGGAGGGAACCAATTTATAGTGATCGCTGATTTTGAAGCTGAAGAGAATTCGGATTTAAGCGTGAGGAGTGGTGAAATAGTCAGCATTCGGGCTACTAGGTTATTCTTTGATCTATCGAACTGCCCGAAGCGCATCTATGTGGGCTAGCAGTTTTCTAGCCTATTTAACCGCAAACTTATCTTAACATTTAGAAAAGTAGCTGTCTGGAGTCGATAGTCCCAAATAGTATTTGTCGGGAAACGGGCTGCCCATCGGGGACCCCGGCGGGGAACACGGGGAGCGCTCCCCCCGCACAATTTGCTCCCCGACTTTTTCGCGAGGACCCCCCGTCCAATTTTTCCCCGCAGGGACCCCCCCCC